TCTTCTCTCTCTCTCTCTCTCTCTCTCTCTTCTCTCTCTCTTCTCTCTCTCTTCTCTCTCTCTCTCTCTCTCTTCTCTCTCTCTTCTCTCTCTCTTCTCTCATTCTTGTCTTTCTTCGCGCTTGGGGACGGACCCAGGGTCAGGGGTGATCGTCTTGCGCATCATTCGGGCCGCCTGCTCGTGCATTGTTGACGTACAGCAGCTTGGGCTGAGAGCGCGCCCACAAAGGAGGTGCCTGCTCCTCTTTGCAACTGGCACCCGGCCATCAAGCCTTTTTTTTTCCTTGGTGGTTCCCATTACGTGCTGGATGATAGAGCCAGGTCAGTGCATCCGAGATCAGTCGCGCTCCAGCTGCGGCTCGTCAAGTCAAAAACGCCAAGGTCCCACCGCACGATGGTATGTATGGCACTCATATCTGGTGTATTTGCTGCTCGTAACTTGTAACTGTAGCCGCAGGGAGGGGCGAAGCTTGATTGCGATTGCTCCCGGTTTTCGGCCTCGCGCAGTTTGCGCGTCGCCTCGCCCTCATGGACGACAAGGATAAGGGTGCCGCGCTTCTTGAGCGCTTTCGGCGGAACAAATCCAAGAAGAAGAGTCGGAAGCCCAAGACTACTGATCAGCCGTCGAATGGCCATGCCCAGCCGCAGAGCCCGCCGACCATTTCTAATTTTGCACCGAATGAAGCTGTACCATCCCCTGATTCTAGCTCAAATTCCACCTCGCACGCCAACTCGGTGGATGAAAGCATTGCTCAGGCTTTTGCCCGACCTGCAGCTGCCCAGGGACTTATGGACATCCTCTCCCACAGTGCTCCTCCAGAAGAAAGCCCACTATCACACCCGGGACCAGAATCAGAAACGGAACCGAAACCAGAACCCACCGCGCCTACCCCTACAAGATCTACTGATCACCCCGCATCAAAGAGTGAACCTGCAACAGAAGGGCAATCTCATCCAGAGTCACAACCTGCCACCGCACCAGTGCCAACGCCACGGCCCTTGACCGCAGCCCCCATGATAACTATTGCTGACGATGATGATGAAGATACTGATGAAGACATGAGCGCAAAGGACAGCCGTTACGCCGATGCATCACTTGCCTCCCGCCCGCCCGCAGTGCCTGTGGCTTCTCCTTTCATTACAGTCTCTGACTCTGAAGGTGCCGAGCCCGAAGATGCTGCCCCAAATGGGCCGGTGCGTTCAGAACCAGAAGCCAGTCAACAGCTTGACAAGTTGCGCCGTGAGGTTGTGCGTTTGCGCAACGAACAGAGCGAGGCGCTGGAGCGGTACAACAATCTTCAGCAGCAATTGAGCCTGGCCCTACAGACACAGAATGCTGATGAGGATCGTGCCGCTGCGCAAGCATTGCGCCAGCAGCTTCGCTATTTGGAACGGGCACATGCCGATGAGAAGCGCTCGCTCAACCGCGAAATCACTCGCCTTCGAGGCAAGGTGGGTGCCCAAGGGGCCGAAGTCCTGAGCGCCAAAACCAAGCAAAAAGAACTTCGACGGAGCTACGAGGCAACACTTGCGCAGCTATCAGAGGAGCTCGAGGTAGCGCAAAGCCGCGCCGACCAGGACCGATCAACCCAAGACAATGCCAGCCGCGAAGCTCAAGAGCAATTGAAGCAAGCCTTGTCTGCGGCTCGTGCTGCCTTGGATCAACAACGAGAGGCTGCCCAAAAGTCGGAGGCATCGTTGCAGGCACGTCTACAGCAGCTGCAAACAGAGTTCGACAGCCAAGAGCAACTGTTGCGACAGCGACAAAGCATGCTGCGAGAAACAGCTGACACCAACGACCAGCTCGAGGAGGAGCTGGCCCAAACACGCGCTTCTCTCTCCCAGCAATCTGACGAAGTTCGTGCGCTGCAAGTGCGACTTGCGGAACAGGTCAGTGTAGCATCGAAGATGACTCGTGTGTCTTTCACCTAGCTCTGGTGATCTCTTGCTCCGCACCCCGTTTGCCTTGCTCACTATCACGACCGTCGTTGATCGTGTATGCAAACTGCAGCGCGCCGTGGCTGTCTCATCTGAAGCGGAGGCTGAAGGCGTGGAAGCCTTGGCCACAGCCGAGGCCCGAGCTGAGGAACTTGAAGCCGAGGTGATCAGGCTTCAAGCCGAACTTCAAGCACTACGAGGCGTGGTCCAAGGCTCTCAGGAACTTGAGGCGACGGTGGCTGATCTCGAGGCAAAATTTCAGGATGCCATAACCCGCGTGCACGAGGCTGAGCGCGAGCACCAAGAGGCTCGTGCTGAGCTTTCATCGACGCGCTCACAGCTGCAAGCGACGCAGGTTTCACACAATGAATTCCTGCTCGAGGTGCAAGCCCAGCTTGCGCAATTCCCAGATGTCCAGTCAGGTGCCTCGGCAGAAGCAATGACTCAGTCACAACACATTCTCGCCGACCTAGCCCGCCTACACACGGAATGGGCACGACGTGACATGAACATCGAAGACATGGAGACCAAACAGGTCGAACTCGATGCATCCTTGAGACACACGCAAGAAGCTTTGGCACGTACACAGGTCGATCTAGAGCAGGCCCGCTCCGAGCTCTCCAGCCAGACAACAACGCAAGCTCAAACCCAGAAGGAGCACGAGACATTGGAAAGCCAGCTCCGCCTCGCCCAACAGCAATTGCTGGAGGAGCGCCAGCAAGCTGAGCTCAAAACAACCCTGCTCGAGGAACGTGCCTCGACGATTGAACGGCTGAACCGCGAGCTGGAGCAGAGCAAGTATCAGGCTTCAACCATGGAGGACGCCACCCAAGAAAAAACTGATTTGCTTGAAGCTGCACAACGTCAGCAAAAAGAAACAGCAGCCGCCCTTCTTCAAGAGCAAGATGAGCACGAGAAATCGCGCGTCCGCTTGCACGAATTTGAGCGCCAGCTCGCGCACGAGCGTGGGGTGCTGGAGCGACGGCAGCAAGACGCGACCAAGACTGCTTCGGACCTTCAAGCAGAGCTTGAGGAGGCCCGACGCCAACGGCAAGCTGCAGAAGCACAGGTGCAGCAAAAAAGCAAACAATCGGAGGAATTTTATCAAAAATATGAAGCGCTTCAGCGGCAAGCTACAGAATATCAAGCACAGCTATCTGATGTGATTGAAGCGCAAAAGCAAGCTCGACGAGAAGGTGATGCACACCAGCTTCGTGCTCGCCAAGCTGAATCGCGTGTGCGCGACGTGGAAACGCAGTTGCAACGCCAAATGGACCAGAACAAGGAACGGGTGCAAACGTTGCAGACTGAACGTGACCAGTTGCAGGCAAAGTGCGATGAGATTCAAGACAAATACGACCAGCTGCAAGCCGAGCGGGGTCAGTTGGGAGCGGAACGCGACGAGGTCCAAGTCGAGTGTGACGAGCTACACGGCAAGCTTGGCCAGTTGGAGACTGAACGAGACCGGTTGCAGACTGAACGTGACCAGTTGCAGGCAAAGTGCGATGAGATTCAAGACAAATACGACCAGCTGCAAGCCGAGCGGGGTCAGTTGGGAGCGGAACGCGACGAGGTCCAAGTCGAGTGTGACGAGCTACACGGCAAGCTTGGCCAGTTGGAGACTGAACGAGACCGGTTGCAGACTGAACGTGACCAGTTGCAGGCAAAGTGCGATGAGATTCAAGACAAATACGACCAGCTGCAAGCCGAGCAGGGTCAGTTGGGAGCGGAACGCGACGAGGTCCAAGTCGAGTGTGACGAGCTGCATAGCAAGCTTGACCAGTTGCAGACGGAACGTGACCAGTTGCAGGCAAAGTGCGATGAGATTCAAGACAAATACGACCAGCTGCAAGCCGAGCGGGGTCAGTTGGGAGCGGAACGCGACGTGGTCGCCAAGCTGAATCGAGTGTGCGCGACTAAACGCAGTTGGCCAGTTGGAGACTGAACGAGACCGGTTGCAGACTGAACGTGACCAGTTGCAGGCAAAGTGCGATGAGATTCAAGACAAATACGACCAGCTGCAAGCCGAGCAGGGTCAGTTGGGAGCGGAACGCGACGAGGTCCAAGTCGAGTGTGACGAGCTACACGGCAAGGTTGGCCAGTTGCAGACTGAGTGCGATCAACTGCACATTTCGAAAACAGCCTCTCAAGCTGAAGTTGATCGCCTACAAGAAGCCTTGATTGCGTTACGAGCTGAAAAGGCACAAGCGATGGATGACGCTACACGCGCACAGAGTCGAGCTGAAATGGCTGAGAAGCGCGCTTCTCAAGCGAACAATGAAGTGCAACGCACGAACCAGCTGCTGCAGAGCACCCGTGAAATGCTAACGCAACGAGACAATCAGGCTTCGATCACGACAGAGTTGAATGCGCAGCTCAAGTCAGAACAAGCTGCACACGAGGACAGTCGTGTGCAACTACGTGAACTTGAGAAGCAATGTGGCCTAGTGTCTGCCCGGCTCAAGCAGGCAGAAGATGAGCTCAGCAACGCCCGGCTTGAACTGACGACTGCACGTAAAGAGGCTGATGATGCGCGACAAAAAGTACTGACTGCGCAGCGCGAGCTGCAAGCAGCCGTGGCAGCTCAGGAAAATACCCGGGTAGCTGTCACGGAGAACCTGCAGAAGGGCATGTCAGACATGTCTCGTTTAATGACTGAGCGGGTAGCAGAGGTTGAGAGGCAACTGGCTCTCCGCACGCAGCACGTGGAACATTGCCAAGCACAAGTATTGCAGCTGAGCCTAGCCCATGTCTCTAAGCGGCACTCTCAAGCAGATGCCTTGGATGCAGCGCACGAAGCTGCGCAACGTGCACTCGAGCAGCAACGTGTGCACGTCATGCAAGAGCTGCAGGCTTCGCGTCAGCAGTGTGCCTCTTTGCAAGAATTACAGCAGCAGCGAGATGACGAGCTGAACGAGTTGACTCGGCGCTTAGCTCGTAGCGAACAGGATCGCAAAGAGCTTTGGGCCAATTTGACGGATGTCAGCAAGCTCTTGGCACCCGATGGTCCATTCATCGACTGCTGCGTACAGATGGCGCGCCAGGCCAGTGCAAAGAGCGAACAACGCTTGAAGTCCCTCCAGACAAGACTTGCCAAGGCAACTTCTCTGGTACTGCAGCTGCAACAACAACACGAGATCGCCAGGTCCACCTCAACTAACACTGACGCTGCGATGATCAGCGGCCTCCAAGCATCTCTGCAGCGCACCCAGGATGAGCTAGAACGCGAGCGTAAGGAACGTACGCAAGCTAGTGCCCATGTCGCAGAGCTTGAGGCACGCTTGGAGCGTCATCGTCAAACGAGGTATGTGAGGCACCCGCTTTTTTACTGTGTGTTGGTTTGCACTGCGTCACAGACGCGAGTGTCTTGTGATGCCAGCACCGTTCCACGCCCCAACCCCCCCCTTTTTTTTGAGCTGCACAGGTTCTTGTTGAATTACCGTGGTGCGTCTGACTAGGTTGGAAGTGCAAGATAACAACGCCCAACGCGAAACTGCATTGACGAAGGTGCGTCACCATTTCGCCCTTTGTGATTCGAGCTCAGAGTCATTCTCGAGTGGTATGGCATTCTCGACGCCGCTCGATAACAACGCTGCAACCTGTTGGCCTTGCAGGAATTGGGTGGTATGCACGACGTTCTTGGTCGAGTGTTGTCTGCACAGACGGAATGCGTGCGTGTGATTGCACAAGTCGAGGTGCTTCAGGAGCAACAAGATCCTCGAACTTGGATGACGACTCAGCTGGAGGATATGCAGACCAACATTGTCGCTCAGCTCGCAGCCATGGCAGAGCGCGTGCTCGCGCAGGCCCGTGCCACATCGTCTGCTGCAAGCATGAGTGAGGAGTCAGGGCGCGAGCACGAGCATCAAGAGGAACTGCAACGCCAGCATGCCCGACTCGAGTCTGAAAAGCGCGAAATGCTGGAACTGCTGCGCGAGCATCAAGCCCGAATCAAGCAGCTGCTAGACCTTCAGACCAAGGAGGAGCGGCGACGTGAGCTGCAGGAGGGCCGAGTGTCAGCCCTTGAGGCTGACCTCAAAGAGTTGCTGGAATCTTCGTATCAGCTCAAATCGGAATTACAGGCGGCCGTGTACACCCGAACCGATCTTCAACGTCAAAACGAAGCACTGCATAGCAAGGTTCAAGCTCTGCAAACTCAGCTCGAGGAGGCTCGGCACCGCAGCGCAGACCTAGAAAGCTCTCAACGCCGGCTGCTAGCCTCGTTGACCGTGAACCGAAACAACCTTAAAACAGCAAACGAAGCAAGCGCACCAAGCCGCTGGAGCCTGCCCCAAACGGACGTGGGTGCCACCCCCAGCGCTAACGCTGTCAGCTCCGATCATCAACGAGGCTTGAACCAAGGTGTCTGGGCGGGGCGCTCGCTCTTTGCACAGGGCACACAAGTGCGACCTGTGCAGATTCCCGAGCAGGCGAGCTCGGGTGCAAGCTCTGCACCTTCTACAAACACACGAGCAGTCACCACGACGGCGGCCGAAACCGCACGAGCCTCCATTGCTCGCCTGCTTGCAGCCGATGCGGCCCATCGCGGCTCGACAGCGCCGGCCGTGTCGGCTGCACCTTTGCAGCTGCAGCAAGAACCGCACCAGCGCGAGCTTGCTCCCACAGAGCTGATTCGTCAGGCTGATCGCCAAGCCCGTCCCCATGGCTATGCCCCTAGTCACAGCCAAGGTCAAGGCGCATTGCAGCACTCGGATCTTCAAAGCACAAGCACAGCAAGCAATGGCAACAGTTTGACCACGGGCCGGCCCCTACCCGACAAGCACGCCTTTTTGGAACTACTCCGTCACCAGCGTCAGCAGCATCAGCAACAGCAGCAACAGCAGCAACAGCAGCATCAACAGTACTTCCTCGATGAATTGTCCGATCGACAGGCGGGCCGCGCTCAATGAGTCCTCCCTTGAACCCCAAATCTTACTCCTGTAATTTTTTTTCCTCCTTCAGACATAGATAGCGCCGTAGAGCCCTCCCTTTCGGCCAATGATCCACCTTGTTCATTGATCAATTGATAGCCCAATTGATCCGACGTGTCACTCTGTCACTGCTCGCTCACTCACACACGACCTCCTCATTCTCCGTCCTCAACGCAATGCAGCACGACAGTCCTTCGTGGTAGGGGGCTTGACTCACAAGGGAGACATACGCAGTTGTAGTATCAATAAGAATAAAGCCTTAGTGTTGAGTTTGAATCTGTTTCCAAAATTCGTTTTCTCTTCTTTCTACCTCCCTCCTTGACCCCCCCGCCCCCCCTTGAGCTGCAAACTGCGAGAGCTACCTCCAGAAGAGAACTTTCCGAGATTCTTCTCAGAGTGATTTCGTTTTACATGTTAATACGGTGGAGGACTCAAGCCTCAAACTCGTTTGAAATCATTATTCATCCTTAAAAAAAGAAAAAAAATCGATCAAAAATATCTGAAAACTCTTGAAAAATGCATGGCGGAACAACTACCAAGTGTTATTGCGAGCGGCGCTTATTTCTCTCTCTCTCTCTCTCTCTCTCTCTCTCTCTCTCTCTCTCTCTGCGCGCTCCCGAACCACCACCGCCCCACCGGCAGCGCCATCGCCATCGCCGTCACTGTCATCGCAGGGCAACTTCGACAGGGTGAGGCAGGTCTAGGATCTTTCTTCTGCAGGCTTGAGAAAAGCTCGTTGTCAGCGTCAGCGTCCGACAGTGCAGCGAGTCGCAACAAAGCAAGAAGAATCCGAGTGTGTCCCAACCAGCGACCGTGCCTCGGTGAGCGCCAAGATGAGCGTGTCCCAGTTCTTCATCCTGACGCCTCGCGGCGATACAATTGTCTCCAAGGACTACCGTGGCGATGTTGTTCGTGGTAAGGTGCCGGTGTTGTTCTTGGCACTTCCTCTGCATTCACAAACCGACAGACATCATCTGTAGACTGGCCTGCGAAGCACTGACCATGACCACCCCAACTCACCCGCCACCGTCTGCAGGGACTTCGGAAATCTTTTTTCGTAAACTCAAAACAATGTCCGAGGAGCCCCCGCCAATCTTTGTACGTTGCCTCTTGTGTAACAGCTACCCACAGCCAGATTGTGCCATATTGTGCTGCCGCACAGCGGCAGCTCGCTGTTGACTCACCATCATGCATCATGTGGCTGTTGCTGGGATCAGCATGTGGAAGGCATCCACTTCATCTACGTCAAGCGCAATTCGCTGTATTTTGTGGCGACCACCAAGTTTAACGTGGCGCCCGCCATGATGCTGGAGCTGCTGCATCGCATCGCCAACCTCATCAAGGATTATACCGGCGTTCTATCTGAGGAGAGCATTCGTGTCAACTTTGTGCTCGTATATGAGCTGCTGGACGAAGTCATTGACTTTGGGTTCGTATCTCCAGCCACTCTGAGCTTCATTGCCTCCGTGTCCTTGCATCCATCCCATGCTTCATTCGTTGTCTGCCCATGCCTGGGTTCTCAAGAGCTGACCCTGTCTTCTCGTTTCTCTATGCAGTTACGGACAAATCACGGCAACAGAGGCCCTTAAGGCGCATGTGCACAAGGAACCCGTTCCTGTGGCAACCGAGGCCGTGGCATTGGGTTCCCGGCGGTTGGACAAGAAGAAATCCGTCCCCAGCAATGCACCCAACAAACCCATCTCGCTGCGGCAGCACGGCAGCACCGGCAAGAATGAGATTTTTCTGGACCTCCTCGAACGCCTTACTGTGCTCTTTGGTCCCCAGGGCAGGTTGGTCCTCTTCCACTTGGAAAAACGCTCCCATCAACTTCCTTTGCTTTTTCTGTTACCCTGCCGAGCTCAGGACTCCCTGCTCTGATATTCCTGGTAAATCTTGTTGCGGTGCTCATGCCCCGGTGACGCATGCTTTCTCCCTTATCACTTCTACAGTATCGTTCGCTGCGAGATCGACGGCGCCATCCACATGAAATCCTTCCTGCACGGCACTCCAGGTGAGTCTGTCTGCGACATTGACAGCACTGTCCGCACCGCTTGTGGCCAAGGCATAAATGCCTGAACGTTTGACCGATGCGATCGCGCATGTAGAAATCATGCTGGGCTTGAATCAAGATCTGCAAGTTGGTCAAGATAATCGTAGCTGTGCGTGCGATTGCTGATCGCTCCCCCGACCTGTGATCGATGTATCTGGCTCAAGAATAAGAATTTCCCTGGGCTGCATCGCCATAATTGCTAATCGTTGGCACGGTCGCCCACCGTTCTCCGCCTCTTTCGAATTAGTCACGGGGCTGGTGCTGGATGACTGCAACTTTCACGAGTGTGTCAACTTGGAAGCGTTTGAGGGCAGTCGTTCCCTCTCTCTTCGACCACCAGACGGCGAATTCACCGTGATGAACTACCGCATCTCCGGCGAAGCCTCTGGTGAGCGCGCTTGCATATGACCGTAGGCGTTGAAGTGACAGGCATGGAGCTTCCGGCAGATGACCTTCCGCATTGACTTCTTTTTCTTTTCATTCCCCCCCCGCCCTCCACACCCAGGTTTTGCCAATCCCTTGCCTTTTAAGGTTTCGATAGCCTTTGAGGAAACCGGTACACCTGGCCGGTGCGTATTTTGATGTCACGCTCAAAATATTTCCCCTATTTGATGGCATATTTTCGTTTTGATTTTGATTTTATTGTATGGTACTGATTGACACATCTTTCCGCTTACAGCACGGACGTCCTGCTCAAGCTCGACGCCGAATTCCCCATGAAGTTGTGAGTTTTGTTCTTTCGCAGTCTCCCTCGATTCATCAACCGGTGCTTCAACGGCATTCAGGGCTGCTTGTGGGCGTTACAGCGAGCACTTAATATCGATGCACTCCTTCTAATGGTCTTCTTAGGCATGGTGCCAACATCGTGGTGCGCACACCCCTGCCAAAGGGCACTTCTAGGTGGGTCCTGTCGCCTCGAACTCACATGTGTTTGGGTGGGCTTTTGCCAGGGCAGAGCACAGTTTGCTCATGTTGATACCTTGCTCTTTCAGCTGCGGGCATGAGTTGGGCACACCGGGCCACTCTTTCGAGTACAAAAAAGAGGAGAAGGTGTGTGCACTTTGGCTGTGGGCTGCCCTCGTGGCTGCCCTCAAGCTTCATATCACGACTGTGTTTTATTGCTCAACCATGCCACTTTTCGTCAAATTCCGAATGTATCACTTCTTTTTAGATGGCCCTGTGGAAGATTCCCAAAATGATGGGTTCCACTTCGGCTTATCTGCGCTTGCGCGTGTCAACTGCGGTCGAGGATCAAGCTTCCGTGAAAAAGGAGGTCGGCCCGATCAGGTGAGCTGCGGTCTCTTTGAAGCCCAGTGCAGAATGACCGCGAGGGTCGCTTTCTTTGTCTGAAAGCTCATTCTGCTGGCTTTCTTGTCAACGTGGGTGTCTCACAGCATGGAATTTGAAGTGCCCATGTTCGTGTGCTCCGGCGTCAACATTCGGTTCCTGACGGTGACGGAGCGTGGACGCAAGTACACGCCTTTTCGTTGGGTTCGCTACATCACGCACAGTGATTCATATGTCTTTCGCATCTGAGCTCACAGTCAACGAAAGCCTTTGTTGCTTGTGTCTTGTCCCAAGCGCCGACCGCCGATGCCAGCCTCTTTTATACCATGTCCCTTGAGTCTGTCCAACTTCAGATGTGCTTTGAGCAGACTCTCGTCAATTGCAATGAAAACCCTCGTTGTTTTCGATCTTTGAAGCACACACACACAGAGCACGTTGGTCAAAAACGCATTAGAAATTTCAATTCGGGAGTCACACTACATACGCGGGCATCAGAGGGACGTCCATGAGTGGCACGGGCAATCATGACGTCGCAGCCCGGTGGGGTCAAGAAACAGCAATCGATAAGATTAAATTGTGAAAATCCCGCACCCAAACGAGAAAGGGGGATGACACGTAAAGACAAGCCGAAGACCCAACAATGGGCATTGCAGACATGCCTTCAAAGACAGCACAAGTGAAGGGGACACACAGGGCGAGGCGCGGGGACGACACGAACAAACAGGGTGCGCGCCCGCACGAAGATGACACAATCAACATAAGGACTTTCTCACAAGTCCATGTGACAATCAGGTGCAGAAGAAGAACGGGGCGTGGGAATCGTATAAACAATCAGGTCAGGCACAGGACACAAACACAAAAGACGGGAGAACAAAGGTCGCCGGAGTGGCGTGTCGTCATCGGAAGCCCAAGGCACTCCCGTACAACGGGGTCGTTTAGTCTGATACGCTGGCACTGGGTGACTCCTCAGAATCCATGTCCAGGGAGCAGACCGACACAGCATCGGGGGCAGGCTGCACGACGGCGCAAATGGCATCGACCAGGTCGTCCACGCGGTCCGCGGGAATACCAGAGACGTTGATGCGCCCATTGTCAAGGAGGTAGACGTGGTGAACCTGGATGAGCTCATCGCATTGCTCCTTTGAGAGGCCGGTGAAAGTGAACATGCCACTTTGGTTGATAATGTGGTCCCAATTGTGGGCGGGGTCACGGGCCTTGAGGCCTTCGTAGAGCTCGCGACGCATGCGAAGGATGCGACGGGCTTGCTCCTTGAGTTCATAGCGCCACTTGGCCGTGCGGCCCTCGTCAAGAAGAATGCGCTGGACAATATGGGCACCGTGCATGGGCGGGACCGACCACATGGGGCGGCCAATGACCTTGAGCTGGGACACGACGGCGTCGGCCTCGTCGGGGTTGGCGCCGACGTAGAGAGTGACGCCACAGCGCTCGCTGTAGATGCCAAAGTTTTTGCTGAAGGACATGCAAATGAAGAAGGAGAGGCCACGATTCGCAAACAAGCGCATGGCCATGGCGTCGGTGTCAATGTCCCCCGAGACAAAACCCAGGTAGGCGCAGTCAAAGACGGCGAGGTGGTCGTTGGCCACAATAGCATCAGCAATCATGCCCCACTGCTCTTCAGTCGGGTCGACACCCGTGGGGTTGTGAGCCACGGCATGCAACAGGATGATTGACTCCTTGGGCGCCGCAGCCAAATCCTCGAGCAAGCCCGTGATGTCGAGACCGAGAGTGCCCTCATCGAAATAGCGGTATGTCTTGACATTGAGGCCCGACTCGGCAAAGATGGGCTTGTGATTGCCTGCGGCCACAATGCACAATGATGAGAAGAAAGTGGAAGAGGAGCGTAAAACTGAAGGGCATGAGGAAACGTTGAGCGCCGCAAATAACTTGAGCAAGCTGCGTACCCCATGTCGGGTCGGGAATGTAGATTGTCTTGTTAGCATGGAAGAGATTGAGGAATTCACCGTTCAGGCGGAGAGCACCAGTACCAGAGAGGGCTTGGACACCAGTCACCTGGCAATGGAAATTACCACCCAAGCAAGTAAAATCAGTGAGAGTGGCCAAAGGAGAAGCAAGGGTGTAAAGAGGTATTGCAATCCAGAAAAAGGTCAACGTACGTGTTCGTGGGCGATGCGCGACGAGTCATTGCCGAGAGCGAGCCGCGCAGCGGCCATGACAAGATCTTGCGAGCCACCCATGGGAGGGTATTCGTGGTTGAGGGTATCCGCGGCGACTTCACGCGCCATTTCTTCCTCGACTTCTTTAACAATGGTCATGACGTGGGGCTTGCCGGCATCGTCGCGAAAGGCTGCGTCGAGTTCCAGGAAAGGGGAACGCAAAAGAAAAAAAAGAGGGGGGGGGGGGGGGGGGGGG